CCCCCCCCCCCCAGAACTCCAGGTATTTCTCAAGCAGGAGTCGGCAGCCTTAGACTCCCAGGGTGGGCGGCCCCGAATGGCGGCCCGTGAGGGTCTCTGGCTGGTTGCTCTTTACGCTTCCCATGAAAGGCGCTTTACTGCCTCCCGCTTTGCCTCAGCCATCCAACTCTCCCCCCAGGCCCTGCAGCAGGGGGGCCACCCCCCTTCAGAGCCACCTCCGTGGGCCTGGGCCCTCCCGGGAAAGGTCCATGAGACACCGTGATTCCCCCATCTCGGGGGGGGGGAAGGAGGAGTAGGAGGAGGAGGAGGAGGAGGAGGAGGAGGAGGGGAGATTGGATTTATACCCTGCCTTTCAAGAAGGAGAAGGAGGAGGAAGGACTGTATCCAAGGGCAAGTAACTGCCTGAGAGAATGTGCTGTGATCCAGGAGGTCCCTGGCTCTAATCTTTAATGAACTCACTGGGCGTGTGAAAATAAGCACAGATTCTTTGATCTGTACTTGCTTGCCGCTGCTGTCTATTTCTCTAGCTCAGTGGTTTAGAAGCAAACATACACAGGAAAGATGGCGTTATTCTATAGCAGGCATTTGAGAGTCTAATATTATATATTTTGTTGTTGTTATTGTTGTTGTTGTTATATTTATTTATTTATACAAGGGTTGCCAGGCGGGGTCTGGCAACTGGCAGGAGGTTTGGAGGCAGGGACATAGGGGGGCTGTGACATTGTGTGTATCATTACATCACGACCAAGGAAAACCCAGAAATGACATAGGGTAGCTGCGGTAATCACTGGAAACTCTATGATAAACCATACAGATTCCAGCAATTCAAGAAGGAGAAGGAGGAGAAGGAGGAGAAGAAGGAGGAGGAGGAGGAGGAGGAGGAGGAGGAGGAGGAGGGGAGATTGTATTTATATCCTGCCTTTCACTACCCGAAGGAGTCTCAGTGTGGCTTACAGTCTCCTTCCCCTTCCCCTCCCCACAACAGACACCCTGTGAGGCAGGTGGGGCTGAGAGAGCTCTTTTGAGGACTGCTCCTGAGGGAACAGCTCTGAGAGAACTTGTGACTGACCCATGGTCACACCAGCAGCTGCATGTGGGGGAGGAGTGGGGACTCAAACCCGGTTCTCCCAGATTAGAGTCCACGCTCTTAACCACTACAAAGTTGCCAACTGCAGGTTGGGGAATGCCTGGAGGTACGGGGGATGGAGTCTGGGTGGGCGTGGCTTGGGAAGGGGAGGGATCGCCAAAGGGTGCAAGGCTGAAGAGTCTGCCCTTCAAAGCAGCCACTTTCTCCGGGGGAACGGATCTCTGTGGTCTGGAGATCAGCTGTCGTTTGGGGAGACCTCCAAGGCCCACCTGGAGCTTGGCAGCCCTGTCCCAGTGCCACAACTCCTGCTGAGTGAGTCCCCTTGCTGGGGAAGCCGGCCTGGACGACAGATGTCATGCCCCTGGCAGTGCCCTCCGGCACTTCGGAGGGGCGGAAGTCGCAGCCACGGGCGTGGCGTAAGGGGGAGACCGACCGGCCCCTGAGCTTACCAGGTCCGTAGCTACGGTGGGGTTTGGGGGGGGGATCTGTGTCTAAAGGCACAGCCCCACAAGAATTTCCCCTGTAAATGCTCTTTTTCAATCATTTAAAAACCTTTTTTAAAAGGCGTGCGCTCCATTTAAGCAGAGTGGGGTGCTGCAGTTGACTAATTCCCGCACTGAGCCAAGGGGGTTGGAGTAGGTGACCTCTAGGATCCCTTCTCACTCTCTGTCAAGAAACTGGTCTCCTTTAAGAGGGTTTTCCTGCCTAAGTGTTCGCTTTCTTGACTATAGAAGTCATCACCCCCACCTGCCGGCTTGCTATCAGAAGTACTTTTCTCCCTTTCTCACAATACAAGAACTCGTGGGCACTCAAAGAAATTGCTGAGCAGTTGGGTTAGAAT